GGCCTGTTTTTCTGTCCTATCGTATAGTTTGATGGGAGACAGTGATTTCTCCCAAGAGCAAGCAAATTTTTAGGAATGTTGCCTGGGATATTTTTCTTCCATAAGACTCAGTGGTGCTAGCAGACAATTTGCTTTACCTGTCTCTTCTCCAGTGGCTGGTTAGGAGGAAGCTGTTCCTACCTGAGCAGACAAAGGCCCAGGGAAGTGGCATGGCTCCAGGAGTGAAGCCCCTAAGTCTCAGAAGGTGCAAACCTCAGTAGATGCTAGCAGCTCACCCGTGTACCTGCTCCTTTTCCTGTGTTGGTAAAGCAACATTTATTTTTTTTTTATATTGAGATATAATATATCAAGTTATAGTCCTTGATCTTCTGCAGCAAGTGCTTCAAGTCCTCCTCACTTTCAGCAACCAAAATTGTGTCGTCATCATAATGCAAGCTGTTGATGAGCCTTCCTCTAATCTAGATCCCACATGCCTCTTCAAAGGATTCAACTTTTCAAATGATTTGCTCAGAAAACAGATTGAATTGGTATGGAGAAAGGATACATTCCTGATGGACATCTTTCATGATTTTAAGCCACACAGTGTTCCTTTGCTCCATTTATACACTAGTGTCTTGATTTAGGTTTCTATTTCACGTGAGCACACTTAAGAGTTCTGGGATTCAAATTCTTCTCAATGTCAGTCATACTTTGTTATGATTCACACAATCAAATAAATATCTTGCATAGTCAATAAAACAAAAACAGACATTCTTCTGCTAAGTAGAATATTTGCCTTCTTGCTTTCATCTAGCATCCATCTGATATCAGTAAAAATATCCATGGTGTCATGACCTCTTATAAATCCAACTTAAACTTCTGGAAATTCTCTGTCTATATATTGTTCTAGTTGTTTTTGAATGTTATTCAAGTCTGGGAATGGAAATAAATATGGATCTCTCCCTGTCAGTAGATCAGGTGGCTATCCTCCAAACTTCCTGGCATAGGCTGGTAAGCATGCCCAGAACGTCATCTCTTAGTTGAAATATGTCAATTAGTATCACATCAATTCCTGGGTCTTACCTTTTTGCCAATGCCTTCATTGCAGCTTTAACTTCTTCCTTCACTACCATGGGTTCATGTTTATATAATACATTTTAAAATTTTTCAATGTCAACCAAATATTTTTGTATTCTTTCCATCTTCTTTTGATGCTCTTGGATCTTATAAGATTTCGCTTCTTTCAGTATTGCATATTGAAACTTGAGGCTTGACTTTGTTTTCTAGTTCTTTCAGTTTGAAAAATAACAAGCAAGTTTTCCCTTTTTTATTCTCTGACTCCAAATATTTGCACATTCCACTGAAATATGGAAATGTGTTTTTTTTGTCTTCTCAAGCTTCCTTAGATAAGTAATGTGTCAGTTAGGAGATGGATTGTTTTGTCGGGGTTTCTTTTTGTTTGTTTGTTTGTTTTAAGATTCTGGACATAGAATATTTTCTTGGAAAAATTACCTTGCTAGTAGTTTTGGCACTACTTAAGCATTCTAATTGTGTTCATATTTTTTGTACTATAACTATTATTATGAATCATGTAAGTGCTAGTTCTTTGAATTTTATCTTCTAATGCTCTAATCTCTAAGTACTTGTAAATTTAAAAGTTACTTTTAGTTAATATTCTTGCAATTTCTGTATCTATTCTACAGTATAATCTGATAGCAATTCATATTTTTATTTCTTCCTCTATGCTAGGCATACGAAATAGACTCAAAATTATAGTTTGCTAAATAACATTTTAAAAATAATCCATACATAGAAATAATCCACTAATGATATCCTAGGGCTCATAAGTTTTGCTGTTCACTTTGGCAACCTATAGGTCACGTTCTGTGGGACAAGGCTTTCACCAATGCCAAATACGGTTGTGAGAACTGCAGCTGTGGTAGGTGTAGAATGTCTCAATTTCCTTACAGAAACCAAACTCGAGGACGTTGTCACGATTTCTGGAGGAGAAAATGAGAGTTTCTTAATATCAAAAGAAACTTTTTCCAAGAGTACTTTATTTCCTGAAGTCAACTAGCATTTTTTTCTTCTTAGATTCAAATACCAAAAATCAAACCCACTGTCATCAAGTCAGTTTGAACTTACAGCAATCCTATGGGATAGAGTAGAACTGACTCATAACTTTTCCAAGACTGTAAATATTTAGGGAAGCAGACTTCTATCTTTCTCAAGCAGAGCAATTTGATAGGTTCAAGTTTCCAGACTTCTGTTAGTAGCTAAGCATTTAAGTAGCGCTTTTCTAAGACTTCTCTCAGTTTCAAACTAAAAACTTTCATTGTGTCAGTTCCAATGCACAGAAACTCTTCATGAGCTGATGGATTGAAACTATCAACCTTTTGGTTAACAGAACAATACACTACCAGAACTCCTACTAGGCTTTAAATTGTTGTTGTTGTTGTTGTTGTTGTTGTTGTTGTTATATATGCCATCGAGTTGACTAGCACTCCCAGTGACCTTATGCACAATAGCTCTCAACCCTGCTCTATCTAAGCAATCTCACTGTCTCTGACACACTTACCCTCATTACCTCAGTTATTGTGTCAATCCATCTCCTCTGGGGTCTTCGTCTCCTTTACTGTCCCTCAACCTTTACAAGCATGATATCCTTCTTCAAATACTGGTCACACCTAGATACATTCCCAAAGTATGAGAGATGGAATCGCAAAACCCTTTCCTCTAAGGAGCAGCTTGGTTTTACCCTCTCTAGGACAGACCTTTTTGTTCTCTTGGAAGTCCAAAATACATTCAGTACTTTTCTCCAGCATTACAACTCAAAGGCATCAATTTTTGTTCTGTCATCCATGGACATTGTCTTTTGATGTAGAGCAAGTAATTGCCAAGACCAGGGCCCAGATCAGGTGCACCTTAATCTTTAGACTGATAACCTTCCTATTCACTCGAGAGAGGTCCCTGAGAACAGATTTTCCTAATGCATTTGTCTTTTGATTTCCTATCTGCTGATATCAAGATTGTTTAGTGCAGATCTGAACAAGCTGAATTTGTTAATGATCTTTATTTAGCAGACACTTATTTTTGAGAGTTGACCACAAATACAATGATGTGAAACAAAAGGAAATTATCTCACAGTTCTGGAAGGCAGAAATCTCAAATCAAGGTGTGAGGAGGACTGTTTGCTCTCTGTAGGCTTTTGGGAATATTCTAGCTTCCTTTTCTTTCCTGGCAGTTAGTGGCTGTCATTGATATCTTATAGCTTGCATGAGCTTAAATTCAATTCCTGCTTCCATCTTTATATGTTCTTCTCAAGATGTGTCTGAATTTGTCTCTTGTTGTTTTTGTTATGTGCCATTGAGTCACCTATGATTCAGATCAACCCTATGTACAACAGCCCTAAACCCTGCTCCATTCTGTGCCAATCTTATTGTCTCTGACACATCTACCCCCCATAACCTCAATCACTGAATCAATCCATCTCATCCAGGGCCTTTCTCTCTTGCACTGTCTCTTCACCGTCCCAAACATGATGTCCCTCTCCAAGGACTGGTCCCTCCTTGCAACATGTCCACAGTATGTCAAATGAAGCTTCAAAATCCTTGCCTCCAAAGAGCAGCCTGGTCTCACCCTCTCACCATACCATGAACTGCCAAGAAAACAAATAAGTCTGTCTTAGAGAGGATGAAACCAAGTTTCTCCTTGGAGACTAAAATTTTTGAAGCTCCACTTCACATATTTGGGGCACATGGCCAGGAGAGACCAGTCCTTGGAGAAGGACATCATGTTTGGAAAGGTGGAGGGATAGCGTTGGAGAGGAAGACCCTAGATGATATGGATTGATACAGTGACTGGGGCAATGAAGGTTGATGTGTCAAAATTAGTGAGACAGGCTTAGGACAGAGCAGGGTTCAGAGTTACTGCATATAGGGTCACTATAGGTCACAGGTGACACACTGGCACATAATAACTGTATCATAAATGATGAAGAAACTAAATTTGTAGAGAACTTAATTCTTAGATCAGCAATCAATGCCCGTAAGCAGTCAAGAAACAAAGCAACACATTAATTGGACAAATCCGCTGCAGATCTCTTTAAAGTGTTAAAAAGTAAATATATTGTTGTAATGACTAAGGTACACTCGACCCAAGCCAGAGTCTTCCCAATTGCTTCATATGCATTTGAAAGCTGGAAAGAACTGAAGAAAAATCAACACATTTGAATTATGATGTTGACAAGGAATGTTAAATGTTCCATGCACTACTAGAAAAACCAATTTGTCTTGAAAAAAGTGAGACAGAATACTCTTTTAGAGATGTGGATGGTGAGACTTTCTCCCTTACTTGGAACCTGTCTTCAGAAGGGTCAATGACTGGACAAGGACATAACTGATAGGGGGTCCGTGAAAGAGAGAATTTTGGTAAAAGAAATTGGAACTGTAACTACAACAATTAACTCAAACATGGCAATTGGTGTGAGGATGGCTCTGGACCATGCAATATTTTAATTCATTAGTAATAAGGCCCTGGTCAGTTCTACGAATTTGAGGGCACCTTACAATAACAGCTAGTCACCAAATATGTATTACCTTCTGCTCCTCTCACCCCAGTCTACCCTCTTTGCTTGGCATGGGCAGTTTTAGATATAAACAAATATGTAGTCTTGATGAGGAGAAGCATTTAAATATAGGTACTTACAAGACAGTTGAGAGCCTTACCAAAAGTCAGGTGCAGAGAGCATTGTGGGAGCATATAGCAAGGCATTACCAAATTTCAATAAATAACTAGATGAGAAGCACCTTGAAACTTTTTTTTAGTATATAGTTCTTTCACTTCAAGATTTTGAAATTTTTATGTTTTGCCTCCTTCCCCAAATGATTTGAGAGAGCTAGCATTTTGATTAGCAAGTTAGCCTCCTAAAACAAACATAAATACTTTTTAATCAATAAATGTTAAGCAAGATAACTGACTGCACTCTTTGTTGCTGAATTTAAATCCTGTTGTCCTTTCAGCTAACAAAAACCGAGGAATCAGTCTTCCAGAAGGTATATGACTCTGTGACACCTTCTTACAAGTACCACACTTTTGGTTGAAGGTCTGTCTCAATGTCTGCTTCAGAAATAAATATTTCTTCTTTTACCACAAGACGAGCATTTACTTGACAATCTGATAATGCTATCAACAACCAAAAAAAAAACCCAACATACTTTTGACTCTTCCCTCCCGTGTTGTATCATCAATTATCTTACCATTCAGAATATCCATAAAATATTCAGATCACTATGTAATAAAAAGCTGTGGGATGGATGCCATTGTGAGATAGCATATGTTCAGCGGCAAATGCTCGGTGACCTAGGAAGTGCCTCTTCCTCTCATAACACATGCCTTGGACAATCTTAACAGAAGTTCTGAAGTGGTAACCAAAACACACTTCCTTCCACGACAGATGATGCATCTTGTCATTTTTTTTTAACTAAAAGTGATTTAATCCTTTCAGTGAAATTTTCTCTGAAGTAAAATTAAATTTCTGCACTTTGCATACGTTTCACCTGATGTTTTGTTTCTTTTGCGTGCTCGTTGTTACAGATTGAATGACATACCCAGGAAAGATACATTGAAGTGTGGTATAACCCTTTGGGAGTTACATTGTTTACCCATAAGTTGCAGCTCTTTGGAAGTTTGAATCCACCAGTGTGGCTCAGTGGAAGAAAAGTTGGCATTCTCCTTTGTGATTGACATTCAGCCTTAGAAACCCAGTGGAGGGTCAGTTATGAGTCCATTCTGACTCAGCAGCAATGAGTTTAGAAAGCTTAGTAAAGAAACTCTAGTGGTACCAAGGCCTTAAGGTCAGTGCTTGGAATCCCCTAATGGCTCTTTGGAAGAAAAGGCCAGGCTATCTACTCTCATAAAGTTTACTCCTTGCCATCATACCTATTTTAATTCATCGTGACTTTTTAGAACAGAGTGTAACTATACCATAGAGTTAAAAAGGCTATAATTTTTATGGAAGAGGGTTGCCACATCTTTCTCCATCAGAGCAGCTGGTCGATTTGAACTGTTGACCTTTGGATTGGCAGCTGAGTGCTGAAGGAACACCACCGGGTCTCCTTCCATAAAAGTCACAACGTAAGAAACATTTTGAGGCAGTTCTAGTCTGTTCAATAGAGTTGTTATGAGTCAGACTTGACTCAACAGTATACAACAGCCACCTTTTGTACCTGTGAATGTAATCTGGTTTGATAAATGTGAAGATCTAATGAGTTAACTGAATTCAGCATAATGGATATTGTAATTAATGTTATAAAACAAGTATATGAGCGATTGATTAAAAAATTAATATATTTCAAAAAGTTTCAATAAAATCACACATAAAAAGAAGCTAGGAAAGATAAGAAGGAGATATCCTCTCAAGACTGCAAAAGTAGCGTGGAGAATCTGACTCACTAATTTGAACTTCTGGAACAGTCAATTCATTGGAAGACAATTCATTATTTCTAGCTATTCATTTCATATACTTTGCTACAGTAGCTTTGACAAAAGATTTAGCCAACCTTTAGTTCTATATGAAAAGTGTCCTTTTTTGTTTTTGTTGCACTACTAACTCAGAGGCAGGCAGTCCAAATCCACAAGTTGCTCCATGGGAGAAAAATGAACACATATCCTTCTGGGAAACTTAAAGCTTCTGAAACTCTCTAAAGGATCCGTTATGAGACTATTCCAACTCAAGAGCACACAACAACAACAAAGATAAATCTTTCATGTCTCTCATCCTATCCAGAACCTCAATGTTTTAATCTCTAAAGTGGGTTGGGAGAGAATGAAGGGGATTGATGATGTCTTAGCTTCCTTCAAGACTGTTTAGATCTCACAATTTAAGGACAACTCACTTAAAAGTCTTGTGGAGAGAGATTGGCCTTTGTCACATTGATTTAAAAAGTTAAACCTGAAGCACATTATAGGATTCATTTAGTCAAATCTTCTCATTTTATACATGAAACCCTGCAACCAAAAGTGATTAAGGGAATTGCCCTAGGCTACACAGCTGGCAGGGAACAGAACTGATTTAAAGTTGCACTCTTGGCTCTTGACCTAAATTTTATCAACAAGATTCATCTTCAAAAATCAGTCTCCTAATTGTAAAGATGCTGAGTTGAAGTTAACTCATGAAAGTTATGTATAAACAAAACAAAACTTAGAAATGACACAAACTAGAACAGAAACTTGTATAGTATGAAATGAAATTCTGGGCTTTACAGCCCCATCCTGCTCTGTTGTCAACAAATATGTAAAAAAGTGAGAAGACTGCTCATATGTTTATAGAATTATAATGAAAATAAAAGACAGCATTAAAGAAAAAGAAAATAATTCAAAATATATTATTGGTGGCTAGTAGTAGTAGTAGTAGTAGTAGTAGTATAATGCTCAAAAAGTTAACGTCTTTGAGTCAAACAAAATCATAGCTGACTCTCCATTGGGTTTCTGAGGCTGTAAATGATATATGAGAATGTTTATCTTCCTCAGGTGGATTTGAACCACCAGACAGGAAAGGCCTTTGGGTTAGGAGAACAACTTTATACAGACAAGATTTAAGATTCCAGACATTGGTATCATGTAAATCTAAGTGCATTTTTCAGTTTTTCCATTTTTTAGGACTGATTTGTGTCTCCGTAAAACTAACAGTACACTTGACTAGGCTCCTATCCTCAGTATTTTTTTTTAATGATGCAATTATATAATATGGTAGTTACGTAATTATTTAATTTCCTCCATAATGTTATATTATTTTATCAGCCCTGATATGGTGTCAGATGATTCTGGTAGGATGCAACATCCTTAATAGATCATAGACTTAGATGAAGTCTAAATGGAGTTGCCCTGTTGTGTGGCCTATTGTTGTGTACCATAGCGTCAGAACTGACCCACAGCTGACCCTCCGACAGATTTTCAGAGCTGTTAAATGCATGCGAGGAAATTGCCCATGCTTCTTCCATGGAGCAACTGATGCCCTCGAACCATGTGCCTTTTAAATTGCAATGCAGCTTCTTCCCAATAGGCCATCAGAGCCCTATCACCTTTTTATGCTACACAAAATGAAAGGGGAAAGCATTGAGGAGAGAATGAGGGACTTGATTACTACCAAGAAAGAAGAGTCAGACTAAAGCATGCCTTTGGACCCAGGGTTCTGTGCTGGGAACCTCCTAAACCCAGGGGAAGATTGATAATAAGGCACAGGAAACTCTCCAAGGAGTCCCAAGCCCACAGTTTGAAAGGAGACAATGGTCTTCACCTGCCGCCAACACTGAGAGAAAGCCATTCCTTGGAGCTGGCACCCTGTATTTAAACTTCTAGCCAACTAAACTATATGAATAAATTTGCTTGTTAAGGCCTTCCATTTGTAATAGTCCTTTTATAGCGCTTCTAGATAATTAAGATAGCATTCATTTTATTTAATCCTGGTAAAATTAGTACAATTCTCTTAGCCTCATTTTTTTTCTAAATTATAAAGTATAAAATTGTTGTAACCTTTACAAGGATTGTAAATTTGTAACTAGTGTATGTTGTTTTTGTTGTTGATTGCCATAAAGTTGAGCATGACTTAAAATGACACTATGAAGCCTTTCTGTAACTATCCTCATTTCTCAAAGTTCATAAAGTTTCCAGAGGCATGTTGTTTAGGAATATAATTATGAATACATTTAAACTTCTCTATAACTATTTTCTTCCAAATGGTAGTAGTTCCCTAATGGCATTATAGTAATTTTCCTCAACTTTAGAATTACCTTTTGATGCAAGATAATATATAATTAGGTAAGAGTAATGAGCATACCATACACTGCCTAGAGAACAAACAGATCTGTCCTAAAGAGGGTGAAAGCAGGCTGCTCCTTGGAGGTAAGGTTTTGAAACACTGCTTCATGTATTTTGGGCACATGTCTAGGAATAAGCAGTCCTTAGAGAAGGATATCACACTTGGAAGGGTAGAGGGGTCAGCACAGGAGAGGAAGACCGTGGATGAGATGGATTGACACAATGACTGTGGCAATGGGGGCAGGGTGATGGTGATATTGTCTCAGGATACGGCAGGGTTCAGAGTTATTGTTCATAGAGTTGCTCTAAGTCATAGCTGACTTGATAGTACATAATGACCATAACAGCACTAAAGTACATTTAGCTGTTTTGTTTTTCCTGTTTGCTACAAGAACATTTTTTTAAAAATTATATTTATGTTTATATTTGCAAATAAATTCATTGCCACTTTGTTTAATCTAACCATGGGAACACATGTATGTCAAAGTAAAACAGTGTTCCATTGTGTTATCAATGGTTGCTTTTCCAAAAATAAATCCCCAGGTTTTTCCTCCAAGGCATCACCAGGTAGACTAGGACCTCCAACGTTTCTGTTAGCAAATGAACACATTAGCTAATTGCATTCTCAAGGCACATGGTTCAAATCGACCAGCTGCTCTGCAGGAGAAGAATGGGCAGTCTCCTCCTATGCAATTTACTGTATCAGAAAACCCAGTGGAAGGCCAGCTATAAGTTGATTCCAACTTAAGAGCACATCACAATAGGGAACTATTTTCAAATAGGTATCTTTAAAGAAATGGTAATTAGTATTAACTCTATGAGAAGGAGTGTGGTATCAGGATTGGAGGGATACTCATCAATAACCTGCTTATGCAGATGACACAAACTTGTTTGCTGCAAGTGAGAAGCTTTTGTTGCAGAATACAGCTTTCAGTATGGAATACATATCAATGTCAAGAAAACAAAGATTCTTACCACTAGACTGATAGGCAGTGTCATGATGAATGGAGAAGAGATTGAAACTGTCAATAGTTTGGGTCTTGCTTGGATCTATAATTAGCATCCTTGTTACCAGCAGTCAGGAAATAAGGAACCACATTGCCCTGGGAAAATCTGCAGATAGGGACCTCTCCAAATTATTAAAGATTAATGATATCAGTTTGAGAACTAAGGTGTGTCTGATTCAGACCATAGTCTTTCCAATTACTTGGTAGATATCTGAGAGTTAGAAGATGAATAAGGATGATATAAGAATAATTGACTCCTTTGAGCGGTGGTGTTAGAG